AAAGAGCTGTACGGTCAATAGTGAGGCAAGAGAAAGGATAGGTGGGGCTGGTAGTCAGAGAATAAATAGAAAGAGAAAAAGAGAGGAGATCAAGGATTGAGAAAAGGAGGAGAGGAAGACATCAAGGGTCAGCCACCCAGCTACACAGCAAGTCATGGAGTGAGAAGTAAAGAAAGGTATATGGAAAAGAGAAAGGTAAAAGCCCAGAGGCAAAAGGTAGACAGGATAACTTAAGTTAAGAAAAGCTGGCTAAGCCTGGTGGTGGTGGCACATGCCTTTAATCCCAGCTCTTGGGAGGCAGGGGCAGGCGGATCTCTGTGAGTTCAAGGCCAGCCTGGGCTACAGAGTGAGTTCCAGGAAAGGCGCAAAGCTACACAGAGAAACCCTGTCTCGAAAAACCAAAATAAAAACAAAAAACAAAAACAAAACAAAACAAAAAAACCAAACAACAACAACAACAAAAGAAAAGCTGGTTAGAAACAAGCCAAGCTAAGGCAAGGCATTTATAAGTAAGAATAAGCCTCTGTGTGGTTTTTTTTTTGAGGGAGCTAGGGGTGGCAGGCCCTCTCAAAGAACGAAAAGCCAAAGATTAAAAAGAAACCAACTACAGGGATACCCCCTGGTCTTCTGCTGTCAGCCACACTGGAGCTGTTCTGTCCTGCTTGGGCTCTTGGAGGACACCCCTATTCCCTTTGTCCCGGTGATGAGCTGCTTTCAGCTTACTCTCCCATCTTTATACTTTTGGCTGCAGCTGCCCACCCAGTCCTCACATGTTCCACTCTCTTGCCCCACCAGGCTTCTCTAAGAGCAATGGTTCTGCACAGGTGTGCCACAAGACCACATAATCAGTATCTATGATCCTAAATAGTTTCTGTGACCTGAGAACGCAGAGCAGCCAAGCTGGGTGATTCTGGCTCAGGGACACACCTGAGATTAGTCATGAGCTCTGCCAGGGCTGCATTCTGATCTGAAGCCTTGGCCAGGGCCACGAGGCAGCTAGCCTCCGAGCAACTCACTTGCATCCAGATGTTGCTGTTGTCATGTGGACCTCTGCATAGGGCTATTGAACAATACACTATGCAAAAAGACATCGATGAGGCAATGGCAGAACTGTATGGCCACCATTGCAACCTGCCACACGAGGGAAGGGGGGGCAGTAGGAATGACTTTATTACCAGCTCCAGACACTGTCACTTTTCTAATGTCCTGTGGGGGCCACCCTGGCTGGCCCTGCAGAAGGACTTTGCTCACTGGTGGAGACTGGATTGCCGGTTGCCCTGCTCATTCTGGGGGTGGGGGTGCTGGGCTTTATATAGATACAAGCTCATTTCCTGGACGTTCACATTCAGGTTACCATCAGGAGGAGGTGGGCGGGGAAGGGAGAGGAGAGGAGGACTCTCTGTCCTGGAAATCTTAGACTTTCATAGCCTGGTCTGGAACTCAACACTGTTGTCACTCCTGACACACCCGCTTGTTTAGAAGTCACTTCTTGGTAGATTCAGCCCATACTCAGGATGGCACAAGAATTTAGGAAGTGGACCTATGCAGAGTTGGGGGTCCCCTTGGTGTTGTGTAGCGATTTCCTGTAAATTGAAACATGCCTACCTGGAGGGAGGCTCCTCAAGACCCAGGAGATGAAGGAAACTCACAGGGTTCAGGACTTGAATCAAACCCACAAGTTGGGGCTGGAGAGAGGGCTCAGTGGTTAAGGGCACTTCTTGCTCTTGTAGACTACCTACTACCTAGGTTTAGTTCCTAGCACACATATGTCTGTGACTCCAATTTCAGGGGAATCTGATACCCTCTTCTGATCTCCACAGGCACCAGGCATAAACATGGTGTACTTACACACACCCAGGTAAGACACTCATACACAAACTGAAAAACAAAACAAAACAAAAACTCACAATTCTGAGGAAGCTCCTGAAGCTTACAGGATTCAGAGCTCTCTCCCCAAGTTTCAAAAGCAGTACTAACTGCTGAGAGGTGGAGACTTTCCAACTGACTGGAGCTGCCTGCAAGTCTTGCAGAGAGCTCTAGGAATGCAGCTCCCATGGGTCGTCTCCAGGCTGGGGTGAGTTTCCAGTGATGCAGCAGCCTTTGAATCACCTGTGCTCCTGTGAGAAACCCTTCATCCATGCTCTGTAAAGTAACCCCAATAAACTCACTGGATTACTAAGCTGGACTTGGGTGGAGTTGTTTGTTTGGTCTGTCATTAGTGCTGGGTATCAAACTTTTGTTTCTGCTTCCTCGGGAAGAGTCACACAGCACTTGGGCCCTCTTAGGGTCTGGCTGCTTACCTTGGCTTTGCATCACAGTCATGCTGGATGTGGGTAACACGTGCAGAATGGAAGACTTCTAAGACAGTCAGAGGAAGGGGTGGTTCCTAGAATTGCTTAGCCACAGGAACAGGATCCAGGAAATCACTAGCCTCTCACAGCTGGCTCCAGATGGTAGTGGCTATCGCCTGAGCACTGACCCCATGATCACTCTAGAGTAGTGAAGTCTGCAGTCTGCTAGAAGAGGACTGTCAGCTGGTGCCTCCATAGAGGGGCAGGTGACAGGTTGTTAATTTGAAGAGTAGACCTTGGCCAGCATTCGACCCACTCAGTAAGAGGTTGCATCCTCCAGCCAGTGCTGTGTGGCTATTGGGAGGAGCCTGCCCAAGGTCCCCTGCTCCCCCCATGCAGGCAGCTGAACCTTTGCCACCTGGAAAGAGGGAGACCATAGAGGGGACACTATGACTGTTCCGGGACATCTCTAGTCTGGCTCCAGAAATCCTTGTATCAGAGTATGAGTATCTTATAGGGCTCCAGGAATAGCCTGCCTGCCTGGGGCCAGCCCTCTGGGGTCACCACTCTACCTGCTTTTTGTCTTATTTACTCCCTACAGATGGAAGAGGATGGAGACATGACCATTGGCTACATGTGGCCGCTAACATGAAGCTCAGCTCAGGAGACAGGACTTGGATTAATTCCCTTTAACTTTAATTGAACTATATTTAAGTTTAGATATCTATTCAATTTTAAGCGGCTACCCCACTGAGTAGCTCTAGAACCTATTCCGAAGTGTGGTCTGCATTACAGAGCCCTGGTGGCCTTCTCTAGCTCTGAGCAGTCTTCTGTGACATTCTGCATGCCAGGGGCTCAGGCTGGGTGAAACCAAAGGATAAAAATGGGTCCTGCTGTTCTGTGTATCATGCAGTTCGGAGATGCATTTGAGGCTTTGAGTGAAAGACACTTCAGCTGCTAGCTAGATGTGACGGTCAATATCGACAGAGAAAAGTACATCCTGAGTACATCTGTGAAAGCATTTCCAGGGAGAGCTGACTAAGGAGGAGACTCACTCTGAGTGTGGAAGACACCGTCTAATAAGATGAGGGCCTGCACAGAATGAAAGGGGAAAAGGAAAAGGGCCATGAGTACCGGCCTGCTCTCTCTGTCCTGCTTTGCCATGCCTTCCCCCACGATGGACTAACACTTCTGAAGTTCTGACTCAATGTAAATACTTTCGCTCTGGTTGTCCATTCCAGTATTTGGTCACCATGGTTTTAAGCTGACTAGACAACAGGTACCTGGAGAATGAAGTCGCATTAGATAATTTATTAAAATATAGTCTGTAGCATAAACGCAGGAGCTTCCATGAATTCCACTTGCAAAGGGAGACAGTAGTAGCCCATAGAACCTGAAGGCCATAGGAGGAGCTGAGTGTGGGCAGATTCCTGCAGAGACCCTGGCCCTGGGGCTTTCACATGTTTTTGTTTCTTCAAAGTAATTGTGAGGGTTTGTTTTGTCAAATTGACACAGTTGACCTGCAATCACCCAGGGAGCTGGTTTCACTGAAGGAATGTTTACAACAGGATGCCCCCTGAGCATGTCTCTGGGGGGGATTGTCTGGATCGCCTTAGTTGTTCTGAGAAAGCCTACTCTAAGTGTGGGCAGCACCTGCTGGTAGCAGCCCAGGTAAGGATGTGAAGAAATGAAGCTTTGCTCTTTTGCTGGGTCAGCCTTCATTCCTGTTGGCAAATTCATCTGCCTTTTGCTGCTGCTGCTGCTGCTGCTGCTGCTGTCATGGATAATTGAATCAGCTTCTTCAGGCTTCCAACTCTCCACAAACCCTCCATGCCTTCAGTGCCAGAGAGGGACTGCTGAGTCATCCAGCCTCATGGACTGAGCAACTGCCTCTCTGGTGTGAGGCAGCCATTATTGGACTACCCAGACCGTATCATGTAAGCCAATCTAATAAGTCCCCTTTTAATATGTATTCATCCCATTGGTTCTGTTCCTCTAGAGAACTCTGACTGATACAGATTGGGTGTAGGTGTGGGGAAGGGCAGATTAGTCCCTGAAAAGGAAATCAAGGAAGGGAAGGAGGGCTTATGGGATGGAATATTCTGGGATATAGCTGGTTCCTGAATCTTCAGAGGTTCTTGTTTCTCTCTCACAGTTTCTAGCCTGCAGGGGTTTGGGGGAGACTGAGCAACCATCCAGGTACCTTCCTCTATCAATGGCTCCTTTCTGGATAGTGGGCTCTAGGAAGGACACACTGAGCCAGGCTGCATGAGGCAAGACAGACCACCATGTGGATGTTCTTCTCAAAGGTCCATGCAGTTCTTCACATCACAGTAAAATTTTGTATACATGTACATTTTCTTGAGCAGTGGGTCCTTGGTTTATAACAAATTCCCTCTACAGCCCCTGTCTTTTCTAGCATGTCAGGGGCCATTGCACGGTGTACTCATATTTGCTGAATAAACAAACAAATGACTTGAAAAATTACAATGTAAATTCAAAGCTGCAGCTGGGTGAGAAGGTGAGGATTTCAGACGTCAGGGTTTGAGTGGGGTAGGATTACACATGCAGAAGCGAACAGGCCTGACCCAGCCATCATCCCTTGGTCTCACCAGGGACAGGCTGCTCTCTCAGTTCTATTTCCCATAGCCCTTGTGACATCACACAGGCTCGCCATCTGGAAGGTTCTCTCTGGCCTCTGTGAATTCTTTTGTTGCTGGTGTTAACAGTTCACGGCACTGGATTGTGGGGAGCGTGAAATCCAATCCTGAACACTGGGATCTGGACTCTTGGGTGAGATTGGAGAGCTGTTTGTCATGTTGAATAATTTGCTCTGTCTAACGTCGGCATTACCAAGGGAATGAGGTAGGAGAAGGGATAAAGTTGGGTCTCCAGACCCTTGATTGGGGCAAATAGGGAGGTGGCTCTGGGAACTATTATCAGCACATGGTCCCAGGGCCCAGCTGAGAGGTGCTGAGGGAGACTTCATATTCTGGCTCTGGTCTTTGTTCTACTGGAGCTTAAGTCATGTGATTTTTCTCTTTAAAACATCTAAACATGGGCCAGCCCTGGTGTGGTGCACACTTTTAATTACAGCCCTCATGAGGCAGAGGCAGGTGGATCTCTGTGAGTTCATGGCCAACTAGTCTGCAAAGTGAGATCCAGGCCAGCCAGAGCTACACAGTGGGACTCTGTCTCCTCCTCCTCCTCCTCCTCCTCCTCCTCCACCACCACCACAACCATCTCAATGCCGAGCTCATATTGACCCCAGGGTCCCCATTTGAATACTTGTCCCAGCTCGCCCTACCTTTTTAAGAGACTGTGTAACCTTGGGATGTAGGCTTAGGTGGTGGATGCAAGACTGTATCGAAGAGATTTGAGGGCTGTAACCTGGTGCTTCTGTTTGCTCCTGGGAGCTTCTTCATGCTCTCGATGACATGGGTCATCACCAAACATCCTTTCTCCACCATAAAGGACTAAAATCTCCTGACATCGTGAGACAAAATACACCCTTCTGTAGCTAGAGTTTTCCTGCCTTGCCCACAGGACAAATCTTTGTCACCCGCCAGTCCCACAGCCGCTCAGACCCAACCAAGTAAACACAGAGACTTACATTGCTTACAAACTGTATGGCCATAGCAGGCTTCTTGCTAACTGTTCTAATAGCTTTAATTAATCCATTTCCATAAATCTATACCTTGCCACGTGGCTTGTGGCTTATGGGTATCTTCACATGCTGCTTTTCCTGGCGGTGGCTGGCAGTGCCTCCTTCTATCTTCCTGTTCTTTCTTTTCTCCTCTCTGTTAGTCCCGCCTATGCTTCCTGCCTAACCACTGGCCAATCAGTGTTTTATTTATTGACCAATCAGAGTAATTTGACATACTGACCATCCCACAGCACCCTTCCTCCATGAAGGCTCTTCTGTGGGATCGTGAAACTCACTAACACCACCTGAACTCAGAGCAGAGACAAACGCTCACCATGGAGTGCAGACTGGCCTTGAACTCATGAATCTCTTGCTTCAGCCTGCCGAGTGTTGGGGTCACAGGTGCATACCACCACACCTTCTCAGGCCCACCTGTAGCAAGCTCTGCCTGTGACACGTCACTCAGCAGGAGGACTGCCTTAGTCTCTGGACTGTGTCTTACTCCTGAAGGCTGAGGGTGAGGGTGAGGGATTTCCAGGGCCAACTTCAGTATACCACTGGGCATAGGAGTGGCTGCTGCCTGGTCTCAGTGGCAGCATTGTGTTTAAACAGGAACCAGGAAGGGTCAGTGACAGAGTTGGAAGCAGACTCACCATGGCCTGCCATTTGGGACTTTCCTGAGAGAGGTGGAAGAGAGGAGGGTGGGTATTTGGAAGGGCTGGAGGAACTGTAGATGTGTCTGGATCCTTCTCTTTCTCTCTTGGACCTTAGCTGATTCCTTTACTCATTCTTTGGCGTGTGTGTGTGTGTGTGTGTGTGTGTGTGTGTGTGTGCGCGTGCGTGCATGTGAATGAGCATGTATATGTGTCTGTGTGAGAGAATGTGTGTGTTTATGTGAGTGTGTGTGCACGCAGGTATGTATGTGAAGGTGTGTTTTTGTGTTGGTGCATGTGTGTGTGTATGTGTGTGTGTGTGTGTGTGTGTGAATGTATGTGTGTGAATATGTGTATTATTTACTTGAGCAAGAGCAACTTACCAGAGGCTACACTGAGGAATACAACTCCCCCTCCTCTGGCAACTGTTATAACTTAACCATCTCCTTGGGGAAAGGTGGGTAACCTGGGCCAGCAGATCATTCTTCATTGACAGGTTCCAAGGGAGAGGACCAGGAGATCAGAAGGTAGGGAGACAGATGAGTGTGGGATCAGGAGGCCTTGCACAAGCTGTCTAATAATGCCAAGCAAGCTTGTTAAGATAGGCAGCGTCTTATATACTATTTTCCAGGGAGAAATAGGGCAGAGTCTGGAGAAACTGTCCTACAGGGAGACCACCTCAACAGGACAATAATCAAACAATGTCGCACAAGTGAAAAGTGGGTTGTCTCTCCAACATCACAGACAGAGCACACAGCAGTCTTGGGACTGGTATCACAGCCCCGAACAGCAGGAAGAGCTGGTCTTCAGGGTCTAAACCACGGTTCCCCCAAGGCCTGTCCCCAGGCTATACTGGCTGTGTTCCTTGTCAAAACATCAGGGCCTCAGGGAAAGCCTTGGATCAGCCAGCCCTCGACAGGAGGGAGGGACTGTGCTCCCCTGAAAGGGAAGATCTGGTGCTTTCTCTGGGGCCCAGGCACAGAAGGGCCCCAGTGCTCCTAAGACAAACATGGAAAAGCTGACAGGGTTTGGTGTCTCCCAGCATCCTGGAGCTCCGCGTGTCTGTAGGTGTTTTCTTCAGTAACAGCTCCTTTTGGTCGGGAAATCAGAGTGAGTGTTATTCGGGGTGTTTGTCACAAGTCCCTAATGTCTTTTTTTTTTTAAATTCTGTTTTTTTTCTTCTTTTTCCTTTTAGTGTTCTGTACAGACAGAGTAAAAGAAAATGAAACATAAGTGGGAAACGTCTTTATGTCTTTTTTTTTCTTTTCCAAGGCAGGGTCTCTGTGTGACCACCCTGGCTGTCCTAGCTCTGTGGACCAGGCTCGCCTCAAACTCATAGAGATCTGCCTACTTCTGCCCCCCCCCCAGTGTTGGTACTAAAGGCGTGTGCCACCACACCCCCTGACTTTTATTAATTTTTATTTGTTGTACTTGGGATTAGGTCCAGTCTCCCCAACTCTATTTACCTAGCCCACAGGGATTTTTTTCCCCTATGTCTTATTTGAATGTCCATTGAAAACTAAACCAACTTGCTGGGCAGTGGTGGTGGCGCACACCTTTAATCCCAGCACTTGGGAGGCAGAGGCAGGCGGATCTCTGTGAGTTCAAGGCCAGCCTGGTCTACAGAGCGAGTTCCAGGACAGGCTCCAAAACTACATGGAGAAACCCTGTCTCAAAAAAAAACCAAGGGGGAAAAAAAATAAACCAACCACTATAAAATCAGTCCAATATCATAAGAGAGAACAACAAAAAAGAAAAAAATATTTCATAAAAGGCAAATATCCAACTTTGAAAAGAATGGCATCTTTGCTGCCTCTCATTGTTTCCTTCTGTGTACTTACGTGTAGCATGTTTACTGGAATAGACATATCCCCGTACCGAGTCTTCTACTACCCATTCATGTGTTCTCCTGTCTGTTTTCAGTGGTATATTCATGTAGCCATCCAGGCAGGCCAGGACCCCTCGACAATCCATGTCAGAACTTAAGCACACCCAGGTAGGTTCAGCCATGGCTCTGCTCTGCTTGTCAGAAGGCTGGGTTAGCCGTTTTCACTAGGAGGATTTCGGTGGAGGGACCCAAGTCCTGGCTCCTAGCTGGCTGCCAACAGGAGCTCTTCTGGTCTTCATAGATCTCTGTAGGGCTTTTGCACATGGACCTTGTCCCTCTGAGCCAATCAGGACAAGAGGGTCCTTCATTCTTCTTAGGTATGACCCAGAGCCTTAATTCTTAGAACCAGCATCCTCAACCACACGTGTGACCCCCTCTGCCCTGTCAGGAGGCACAGTGAAGGCAGCGGGATCAGGGAGTGGACCCCGTGGATGTCCCGTTTGTCCTCTATCATGGACACCTGGTGCAAACTCCAGGTCCCGTCATGTGCCACCTGTTGTCAGGTCCTCACGATGCTCCTGGCTTCCCTCTCCTCCCTCTGTGAAGGAGTTGGGAGGTGTGAGTGCAGATCTTATTCAGTTACCAGCTCACCCACCTAACAAGGAAGATACCCGGAACAGTGTGAACAGACCCAAAGGCGAGGAGTGGAGTCCCCCACCTGTCCCTCACCTTTCTGCTGGGTGCCAGGACAGTTTATTTCCACACCTTCCTCACTGTCCACACAACAGCTCCCAGTGAGCTTGAGAGCCCTATCCGCTCCCTGCCTGAACTTGGAAGGCAGGATGGTTTAATTTCTCCTACCACCTCCCTCCTTGTCTTTGCAGGCTCCTGCGTAGGAGGCCCACAGTAGATTTGCCAGGAGCTACTGACTATTGACAGGTAGAGGCTGGAGACGGTGTGCCCTGCAGCCAGGCCCCTCGTGTGGCTAGACGACGGTAGAGAGGAAGATTATTTTGGCGGCAATAATATGCAGACTGTGACTGTGGCTTGGAGTGTGTGTGTCTGTGGTGCGTTTCCTTCTCTAGTTTTGTGTGAAATGTTACCATCTGAAAGGAGAGCTAATGAATGCACAAATGTCAGATCCAAAGGAGATGGCATTCTTCACTCTCACAGAGTTGCCTGGATGGATCTCTGGGGCTCTGATGACTGAACTCTTCATCTGGAGCTCAGGGTCCCTGGAGGATCCGGGAATGTTGCGGTGACAAGTGCCACCTGGTGGCCAGGCCGGGGATAGGACTCCTGGGAGAGGCTTTTCAGACCGTGCCTCAGGTTCCTCAGGCCAGGAACATTCCCGGCAGTCTAAACGCTCTTCTGGTTCTCTGGTGGTAAAGACACCGGGCCCCCTTTTTATTTCTGATTTTGTTAATTTGGATGCTCTCTCTCTCTGTTTTTTGGTTAGTTTGGATAAGGGCTTGTCTATCCTGTTGATTTTCTCAAAGAACCAACTCTTTGTTTCATTAATTTTTTTGTATTGTTCTCTTTGTTTCTATTTTATTGATTAAAAGCACAGGGAAAAATAGCCAAACTAGTGGAAACACATGAACTATGAACCAATAGCTGAGGAGCCCCCAACTGGATCAGGCCCTCTGGATAAGTGAGGCAGTCGATTAGCTTGAACTGTTTGGGAGGCACCCAGGCAGTGGGACAGGGTCCTGTGCTCAGTGCATGAGCTGGCTGT